AATGTATTCTGCAGAAAAGATGATTTTATTACTGAGAAAAGGACTTTATCGATCTACTATCAACTTACCAATATAGTAATCAATATATCATTCGAATCAAGCAATTAATGAACACTAGTATTCGATCATGAATTGATTTAAAAATGATTTTGGACACGTTAAAATAAGCAAGCTCTGTCACTACTTTATTATATTGGCCACGGCGGCGAAATTTCGGGATTAGTGGAAGATAACAAACATTGTCGGTCTCGACTCTCCTATACCCTCTGGAGGATTATAAGTTATTAGTTAAGTTGAGGCTAACTTGCAAAGGTTCCGGAGAAATTGTTTACAAATGGAACTGCTGATCAGAGAAGATTTTTGTATTTAATTTTCTCAAATATTGGGTTTCATTTTTGTAAAATAAGGAGATGAAAAAAAATCGGTTTTCGGTATAAAATTCCCATATTTTCGTTCCCAAATCATTTAGGTCACCGGAATTATGTCGAACATAAATATGTCTCGTAAGGTAGTTGGTTACTCCTTCATGAATTAATCTAGTCTACAGATGTTTGAAACCGTTCCGATGTATCGTGAATACCCTGTACATTGTGAAGTTATGTACGTACAACTAACATTATAAGCTATTATATCCAGGCTAGGTATATGCGAATCGATAAAACGGATTTCGAGTTACGACGGAGACTTGAAGTCGTCTATTATCGATCAGCGTGCCTTAAGGAATCTCTAATACAGCCGAACCGCATGGAGAACGGCGTTACGGCACCTTAGTCTGTATTTGCTACACGTTGTACAGAATTATCTCATCCCTAAAAGCAATGTATAGTATAAGTATTATGACTATTATTATCAGAAAGACTCTTCAAACATGCTATAATTGTCAAATCCTACTTTGAGAATGACTCAAATCCGTTTGTCACCAAAACGTACCTTTAACTTACCCAAAAACATAGTTTTCGGGTATTCTACTTGTACCTGCTGGCCTCTTGAGCGCATAATTTAATATAGCTGGTTAATCCTTCATGAATTAATCTAGTCTACAGATGTTTGAAACCCCCCCCCCACCCATTAAACAACTCTGTATTTATAATTAAAGACTGAAGTAATAATCTCAAAAAACAATTAAATGGTTATTCTCCAAGAGGATTGTGACGAAATGCAATGTAAGTATGTCCGACTTAAATTGTCAACCTCTAGAATGTCAACTAACTTGCCAGAAATAAGGTGAAAGTACTAAAACTCAGACACAATGTGGTCCGACTTAAATTGGCCAACTTTAGACTTTGCAAGATAGAAAAACTAGTAATGCGGATTGTGGAAGCTGGCTGGTCGAGTTTATATGAAGATAGCATTAGAGATGACATGAGAGTGGCTATATTTAACTCTGAAAGTGTCATCTTCAATCCTCCCAAAACTAGCTACTCATATGGGGAGTGATTGTACTCAAATACGTAGCCCCACCTTATAGCCAGATGCTTGTCAATTTAAACTGTACTCTATTCCGATACACATCACACAATTAAGAAACAATCCTGCGCTGCGACAAATGTGGAGCTAATTTAAAATAGAAGAAACTCTCTAATTCTGTACAGTTGATGTGGATTTTGGGTGACCTGAAGACATGAATATATATTACATATTCAATGAAGAGAATTAGAATTCTTTAGCTGATGTACGGTTGGTCTATGATGCGCTTTGGGTCAAGCTCACATTGTTGTGGCCCATTCGAATTTGGTAAGCGGATGTGAAGAGAGATTCTTACTGTAAGCTGTATGACGTTTTAATTATAAATAATCAACGTTACGAGAATGGAGACGTATATTTAAAGTACTATTTACTGCATCTGACCTAGCATTAATTATTAATATATCAATAAAGCAATTGTTTCCAAGGAAAGCTAAGGTTCCGCAATGGTTATGGTTCGACCCTTCCCCTTTTGGTACCTAATCAATTAACAAAGTGGCTGTAGGGGGGGGGGGGGGTTAAACTTAATAATAATAGGGTATCTACATACAATAATAATTTTTCATAATTCATAATAAGAAATAATAATCATAACATAAAACATAATAATAATGATAGCGGTCAGATAGATAGTATCAAATTTTAATAATAAATAACTCAATAATTTTCAAAAAGTAAAAATAAATTTCCAATTAAATGGACGGTTCCTCAGTTATTTATTGGGCAAAAGTCATTATAAATATAACGTCACGTTTATTATCTTGCAAAAAATGCAGTTAAAACGACTTTGGAGTGAAGCCAGTGGTCGAAAAAGAAATAGAAAGAACTAGACAGTCAGCGAGTTAATAACGATGCCACGATCTGAATGATAAAGTTTTGGAAGCGCCTGAGATTAAGGTTTGATAGATAACAGGGATGGAATATCCGAACTAAACAACTGCTTAAATATATGGCTTCCCATCTGAAGCGTGTATCACGCCATCACGGTCAAGGCCGGTGGTTCCCAATCTTATCTTTCCATATACCTTATCAGTTGTCAGGAACCTAGGTGCCGTATATACTGATATATTTTGAATGAATTTTCAGGGTTCTGAATAAATAAAAGGCACGCACAACTTACTGCTTTTATTGATAATAATATTTCTCATCTGATTGTTTTCCAATAAATGCCACAAATAGTAATTTTGAAATCGATTCTAAAAATACCTTGCGCGTTTAATGACAGGAACCTTATCTCTTATGTTGAAATTGAGTACGGAGCTTACGTGGTTGGAAATGAATCATGAATTAGTTGGAGCAGGTTTGATAAGAGCATACATAATAATCACTGTGCAGTCTAACAGTTTTATCACCTCGCATGTCAAACATCCTATCTACACATCATTTACTCGTCATTTACTTGTACCATCTACACGTCATTAATTTGATAAGGAATGGACCAGTAATTCATTATTATCTTATCACATGATAAAGTTTAATCCAGTTATATTCCCGGGGAAATGAATTTGATAGCAGTTTTTTTGATAAGAGGAAGTAGCTGATATGTACAATGATACCCACAAAATTCTTGGGTGAAATCAAATATCCGTATATATAATTCGCTACAAAACAACGAAGTTACCACTTTATTCTACTCATATTTTAAGTAACTGAAACTTTTGCACCGAGTAATTTATGCGCACTTGCATTTTGCAATTAATAAAACAGATCAACTGAAATTCCTCTATTACGCTAATAAAATTTCAATTCAGAGAGAGAGAGACTGAGAGACAAGAGAGAAACAAGAAAGAAGGAAGTGTGTCATTTCCATACTTTTATAAGCTTATAAGTCTATAGCAATAGCATCCACTATACGCGGACCTCATCGTTATACCCAATATCCAATTCCTCCAGTCTCCATCTACTGGCAATAAAACATGTTGTCAAAGGTTATATACCAAGGGAAAGTCAATTAACGTTATTTGGTCGGAGCCGTCAGTCGAGCTAAATATCCCGCTTAGTCGAAAACACACATCAAGCAATCAAGATGTACGTTTTAGTAAAATTTCATGTGACAGAAGAACATATCCAAAACAAAAGTATAAAACTTTACTGCAGTGAGGAAGGATAGAGATTAGAGCATACTTAAACTTCATTAACAATTAAGTAATGTTGATTATGTAAGATATTGAAAATGTAAGGGAGAGAAAGAGAGAGGTCGGGGGTGGGGGAAGAGAAAGTGTGAAACATATTTTACAGTCAAACTTGCGTGATTTCCAAGTACAGGTAAAACTGTGAGGAAGAAAGAGAGGGGGACAGAAATTGAGAAACTTTAGTATCAAATTGGGTACAAAACCATCAATTAAACCATTTAACACCGGCCAATTTTAAACTACATTAATAATTTGGATTATTCATAGTTTTGTCAGCACTATACCGAAAAAAACCAGCCCTATAACCGTTTTTTTGATTAAGTCGTTCGTAAGGTACACAGACTACACACGTCCACACGTCCACACCCAGTACCCACACACAGAGTGTTTGGGTTTTATATTAATATAAATCTGCACGTTATCAGGGGAGAGAGGGGGTTTCTAAATGATAATTCCCACACAATAGCTTTGTGTAAAAGTAATTATGGAGGGGAAAGAGGCAAAGAGGGGTCCAAAGAAATTCAAAAGGGGATAACGAGTTACGTGAATTGTGAATGGTCCCTAATTAAAAGAACAAACTACCTTTGAAAATGGCCATTGCGTGGTGCAATTGATACCGAGGTACTTTAGATTGGTTAAGCTGGGATTGCTTCTGAACAGCGGTCTGTAATTTTTGGCCAAATAAAGCAAATCAGGGTTAGTAAAACGAGCCACATAATATTGTACGTGGTCCAATCGATTGATTCTTATTCAAAATGGTTAACAAGAACTACTATTAACGTGTTACTGTTAATGAAAATTGTTGGTGAAACAATGTCTGAAATTCAATTTTAACTTAAACCACCAATATACGAACAAAACTCATCGACCATGAGTTTGTCTCACAAAATGAAGGATGTGGAATGTGGATATGAACCTAGATTCCTGACTAAATCAGTGGCTTTAAATTTTAAGTCGTCATCTTCATGGGTGTTTAAACTTTAATGAATTGACTAGACCAAACCTAACTACAAAAAAACATATTACCATCTTGGCCAACAACAGGGCGCATTTTCCACAAAAGTAATTCGATTGGTAACAAGGTGAAGCGTGCGGCTTCGTAATGACATTTGAACCGCTAGGCTGGTTCAACATGTCAGAGCGGAGAATCTTGTATACCATGAGAGATAATTAATCAATTAAATCGAAAGACCAGCCTCAGTCTAGTATTTAATTTACACCTCCAAAAGTGCGACAGAGATAGTTCCCATTTGTAAGAATGACAGAACACTTGCAGTCAGATGGCCAGTAATAAATAGTAGTTAATGAGGTAACTATTATATAAGCAGGAAAACAGTCTTGTGACGTGAGTGCCCTACTTCAACTTGTTAATGTGAGTTTATTTCGCAATATTGTTCTACTCACGCGAGTTTTTAACGGCATCGATTGGAAAATCCTCGAAGGTAGAAACACGATCAGTCTATCACTTTGCGTGGAATCGTTCAATCATTTAACCTGCCAATCATTTGTAGATTCATTTTCCCATCCAAAGAATCGCTATGCCGTTATCATTTGATTTAAACTTACTTACTTTGTACTTAAATTATCACCGTAGGTTTATCCGTTACCAATATTTAAGTTTAACCTCAAACTAGAATAATATAAACAAATTGAGAAGATTTTCATAATAAAAAATGAATAAAACTGTGACCCTCGAAACAAATCTGATCAATCAAATAACCAAATCAAAAAACAAACAATGATACAAATTACAACGCATATAATCCAGACTGCCATGATTTAAGACATAATTGCATAATGTATATTAGACTCAGTGAAGAGATAAGGCGAATTGAGATTCAGATAACACAGCAATCACGTACATTTTTAGCATGCAATTTATGGAAATATCGGCTGATGATAATTTTACGATTCCTTCAGTGATGAAATGTTGTTTGACTAAAAAGGGTGAGTTAAAGTATGATTTAAAGATAAAATAAAAGTAGGAAAAAAGTTTGATAAAATAAGATAGAGAGTAGGAAAGTTGTTAGAATATCGATACTGTTGACTTAATAGACCTCACGTCTCGGATAGTATAAGGAGTCTGAACAATCCATTACTTTGATCATGATGATACAATTGACAATCTAGATGTTAATTGCCAATTACCGTAAAAAGGGGGAACTTCGCCATGTTTTACAGCTATTTCATGTTATTTAGAAAATGCGACACGAGTAATTGAAAAAGTTGATAGCTCATATGAACAGAATTGGTAAATCAAATGTTCTCGTATATATGGAAAATATGCGAGCGGGAAGTTTTAGCCACTTTATTGCATTATTTCATGTTGCCTGAGGTTAATTAACATAACAAATGTTTATTTTTGAATAGGAATACCTTCATAACCATTTGTTCAACACAATACTATACAAAAACTCGATCCCAACAATTCAAAACGGTAACATGATTAATCGGAAAATAGTGGCGAAGTTCCCCGACACGGCCATTTTACCCCAATCTACGGTACTTGACGTCACCATATTGTGCTAATAACGATAACAAACCCCATTGTGACACTGTCATGATTATCAGCCGATAAGTTGTGACTTCACAGCCTCAGCCCTTTATAAGTTGATGCGCTCACCAATTAATTCCTGCTAATTGGATGCTGACTGCCAAGTTAGCGTGCGTATAGCGGAGTTAGACTGACAAAGCGATATTGTCGATCATTGGACATTGTATGTAATATGACTTTGATTAGGAGGGTCGTTGCAGTTTCTGAAACTGTTGAGTATGGGAAAGTGAATGGTGTTCAAAAGGTCCACGTTTCAAAATGGTGTCAAAACTGAAATACTGAAAATTTAGAGTGCTAGCTGTGCCAGCGAAGCAAAAGCTCATAAAATGAACCGGTTATATAACAGAACCGGTTAAACCCTTCGTATCCGACCTGTTTCTTAAATCCTTTTAAACCTGAGGTGTCGGGTGAAATTAGCTCTGAGACTTTGAAATATTTAACTACTTTTATATTCTATTAATATTTTGAGGAAATGTACTTCGCGGATTCCTACTGAAATCCCACAAAATTGAGTTGCCGAAAACAAAAAGTCTAGTTAAGGACTTCCCCATGTAAAGTTCAAACTTCAGTTCCCACTTCCTGGAAGAGGAGACATGATGGCTCTCAATCAGTGCAGAGTTGGTGAATGCAGGTACCCTCTCAATCAGTGCAGAGTTGGGGAATGCAGGTACCCTCTGTATAATGTGAGTCAGTTAGTCTACAGTTAGCGACGCGAGCAGCCTTATATCAGGCTTCTGCAAGTTTTTTGGCCAGGGTTGTCACATATTATGTCCACCGACCACCTTGGACTTCTTTAAGGGTGGCCATTGGAAAATCAAGGATGGCTCTTAGAGTTAGATTGGTTCCTGCAGTACCATGCCTGAAATTATTTTCTCCTTATTTGAGATGCTTGAGTTGCTCGTTGCACTGGTAGAAACGACGGAAAAGGTGACTCATAGAACAGATTCTTAAAACTTTAGTGGTAGCGAACTCTTCAGGAAATGATCGCTTAATTTAGGTAGTTAGAATAAGTCAGTGGTCACGATCAACAAATAGTTTAACAAATAGTTTAACAAATAATAAAATACGGGAGGTATAGTATGAAAAAACTAAAATGATAACTCAAGATGATAATAAGTATAACAAAATCATAAAAGATAACAAGCGACGATGTATTCCTAAAAAGGGTTAGTACTAGTATAGTAGTATAGTAGAGTGCAGACGAGAATACAAATGGACCTACGGCGATAATTCAAACTGGGTAACTGGTAAGTTTATGTCATAAAAAGGAAAAAGACAATAATATTAAAAAACTTGCTAGAATTTTGACGCAAGAACTCAATATTGGATGTACCTTAAGAACGACAAATTTAGTCTACCATAAATTTAGTCAAACTTTTGACTAAAATTGTTGTAAACCAAATTTCATGAGACTATAAATTTGGTTAAAGAAACTGAACAGTGTACTGAAGAACTTAGTGATACAGAGTCACAAACTCTGGATCTGATGTTACTGAACTTCCTGAGTAATGCATTGCAGCTTAAATATCTGTAATGTTCAGACGGGGTAGACTAAATTTGTCGTTCTTAATGTAAATGGAATGGAAAATGGTCTCGAAAATTCGAAAAATGTGTCTAAAATTGTAGTAGACTAAAAATTTGCGAAATTTATGACTAAAATTATGGTAACCAAAATTATGGTAACCAATATTATGGTAACCAATTTATTGCGAAATAAATTTATTGGCCCTAAGGTAATTTTCGTACCATGAGTCTCAATGTTACTCAGAGTTGCTGTATAGTGAGCACTATGGGGATCATTAAATTCAGGGAATTGATTTTCTGTTAGATTTTTAAGAATTTCTGAAACAAAAGGCTGGCTCTCCAAAGTCTGCCCAGGGTAAAAGAACTGGACTTGATATTGCTGTGAAGGTTTATATTAGTTTGAGCGGTTACGTTATTATCTAGTTTAACAGTTTACCAGCCGCCAGGCGACCTCAATGAATAGTTAAAGGTTATACAAATTGCAGCTCTAAATATTCAATCAGAGTTCCAAGGATGTCTTAAAGCTAAATACCGCTAAATGAGTGAAGATTGGGCGATAATCGAACATTTAAATAGCAGTTTGATACTTAAAAAATATAATAAGTTTCCGGTCCACAATATCATAATCAACCCAGAAAGACCGCGGTTTAGGCTAGAGACTAGATACACGAATATTGAGATAGTTGCCGTATCTCAATACTTTTGTTCGACGAAAGACGTACAATTAACTCTTATGAAATACAGTATTCCCCCTCGTACAAACTCTTATGAAATACAAACTCTACTAACAAAGGTACTGATTAGAAAACATTTGTCATGATGAACATACGGCTCTGACTCTGTTGATCACACATTGTGTCTATGTTGAAAATTTAAGTTTTAGTTCGAATTCAGCATCAATGCTGCCAATAAGAATTTCAATCCTGTTGAATTCCTGTAGAATTCCTGTAGAATTCCTGTAGAATTCCTGTACAATTCCTGTACAATTCCTGCCACTACAGAACACTGCGAAATAATATTTTAATCTTGAAAGGTTTGAGCTTAACAACCGACTGGCTGAAGACATATTTCTCGGTCATTATGCTGTAAATATCATGCAGTTTCCACTTTCCAGAGCCAGTCGGAAAACTGCCCCATTTTCCCAGGTGCGACATGATTTGATAAGCCGTTATCCTTTGTTACAAGATTTTAGTGGTGTACATTTAGCAAGGAATAATGAATGATGAAATAATGATGAAAGCGAATAACACATTTTTACAAACATCATACAAATAATTAATAATAAGACTTACGCTGGTGCAGTACGCTAAAAGTACGCTAGATTCCAGTGAGGACTGGAATCTAGCGTAAAAGAGTTGGTACCAAGCTATACACATCTTGAATATCTTCATCTTTAGCTACCAATATTCCTTGGGAATATAAAAGGCTCAGTTTCAAGAATACCTGGACAGATAAGAAGGTAACCAAATAGCCCACCAATCACGTTATTGTTGGCTGGTTACTAGTTTCAACTCCAATTATAGCTGTGTCAATTTTAAAAACAAGTGAGCTAACTAGCTAACTCATAATTTTAGACGCGTGTGTGAAAATACTAATAAACAGATGGAAGATTTGAATCTGAAACTGTAAATAAAAGAGCAGATTTTCAAAGGTTTTAAAAGCGAAATTCTCAATCTGACGTCCAGACAACTGATCACTGATCAGTTATGAGCTTTAAAATCAGCTTCAAAATAACGCTGTAGGTCTAGCTGAACAATGAACAATAACATGGGATACGATCGAAAATGCAAAGCATGCAGTCAGTTTATTAGGAAGTGGTAAGACGAACACATGCCATCATGAATTAACGTAAAGTACTTGTATTTAGTGATGTTTGTTTTGCTAATGGCTCATGACCGCACTTGCGTCGAGATGTGTCAACGATTAAAATCCGATCATGCGGCATATTTTTCATTTATACAATATGGATATTGTTCATCCTGGCCTTGAGCCTATAAGGAGATATAGTTTAAAGAATTGGAAAAGCTGCAGTGTTCCCCCTCTATAAGTAAAACCGTGAGAGATATACAATTGAAAGTTTTGTGGCAAGATCGAATGAAGCTGCTTTTAATGGTCTTGAGTCAAGACCAACTAAGGAAAACTGTTTTCCTTAGTTAGTTGAGTATAGATCGTATATATAGTATATATAGTAGACATAAAGCAGAAGAATTCTATTCCGATTCGTACTTGTTGTTCCAGGTTCCTCTTTATTATTGACATGGCCCGTGGTATGGCCCGCATGGTGAGCGAGTTTAGCAGGTGGCAGTGCAGTTCTAGTGCAGTTCTAGTGCATTTCTAGTGAAGTTCTAGTGCAGTTCTAGTGCAGTTCTAGTGCAGTTCTAGTGCAGTTCTAGTGAATTTCTAGTGAAGTTCTAGTGCAGTTCTAGTGCAG